TGGGCCAACTCGGCCAACTGTACTCCCAGGGGCGGCCAGGGAGCGCGGCCAGGGCCACGCAGGACCCTGAGGTTCCCAGCCCTCCCACCTCTACTCTCCTGTGTGACGCCCCACAGTGGAGACCGTCCTTTTCTTCTGCAAAGGGGCAGCAGCATGACTCTGCACCTCCAGGCCAGGCCAGCAGGACTGGCCACAGGGAGGTCCCACAGCAGAGCACCTACTCGGGGCTCAGGACGTGAAGGACCCACGTGACGACACGGGCTGCCCTCCAGACCCTCTACCTCCTCCTCGCCCTCCCTGGCACGGGGGGACTTTTTCCCATGGGAGTGGGGCCCCCAAGGGTCACACTGTGACACTGGGCACTCGAACACCCTCCCTCCTGAGCAACCCCCTGCCCACGCCCTGGCAAGAGGGGCCCGGGCACCCTGGCCACCTTGAGGAACTCGAGGAACGCGGGCTTAGTGAGACAGGCCTTCTTGATGATGGACATGGCGCTGGTGAAGTTGTTCACGTAGTCGCTGTACACGTCCAGCACCATGGACTTGGAGAACTGCAGGGGGGCAGGGCCGGTCAGCAGGGAAGAGGCGGCAGCCAGCGCCCACCCCATGCTATCTCGGGGCCATGCTTCAAGGGCACAGCCCGTGTGACCCCAACAAGCCTTCAAGGTAAATGGATCTGTCCCCCATTCAGGTGAGGAACAGGGCTCAGAGAGGTACAAACTGTCCCAGGCCACAGGGGCTGGGGGCTTTGGGCCCCTCCACAGGCAGAGGGAAGGACAGGAGGGGAGGGTGGGGACCTGACTTTTACTACATGCATCTCCACTAACCCCAACCCTAACTGTAAGGGACTGTGGCCTGACCCCCACCGGGCAGCACACCCAGAGCCCCTGGACCCACCCACCCACCCAGGATGGCAGGTCTATTGAGCAGATCTACAGTTTACAAAGCCACTTTTTAAACCCAATGACCTACAACAGATCAAGTGGAGCCCACGGACTTGAGCCTCCCCCCTCCCAGAATCCCGGGAGCCCTGCAATTTCAGTTTGGAGAGCCAGCCCCCCTCACGCCATAGATGGGGACCTGCCCAAGGCCACTTGACGGGACCCTGACCAGGGCTCCTCACCCACCCTTGGGCCTCCTCCTGAGGCCAAGAGCACCATCTGGGCCAGGACTGACAGCAGTGCAGGTCACCCCAGTGCTTGGTGAGGGAGCCTGCCACCTGCCCAGAGGCTGCCCACAGTGGGCAGAGCCAGAACCACGCCCTGGCACCACGGTCAGGCAGACCACTCTGAGGACACCCCAGGCACTTCAGGGTGTTGTACCCACCCCTGGATTAAGCCAGGAAGACTCGGGGACCCTGCCCACCTGACTCCACAAGGTGACAGGCAGAGGCGGGTGACCCTGCAGTCAGACTGGCTGTGGCTTTACCTAGCTGGGCCGGGGAAAGAGTGTGGGGACACCTACTGAGGCCACAAAAAGGTCCCCAATCTTCTCGGTGGAGTCCCACTCGGCCACGCGGGAGGACAGGGCAATCTGGAACATGGAGTGGCAGTGCAGGACCTCCTTCACGCGGAAGAACACCGCCTGACACTTGCGGGCGCTCAGCACCTTGGGCTCCGACTCCATCAGGGGGTCGCGGTAATCCTGGGGGTGGGCGGAGTGAGGCCAAGTCAGCCCCCCACCCCCTTCTGTGGCAACCCAGAGAGGACAGAGGGAACTGGGTGGACCACAGGCAATCCTTCCTGCAGGGGGAGAGGCACCCTCGCTGCTCCCCGTCCTTCTAGAAGGTTCCATGAACACAGTACTCCTGGCCTCTGCCCGTCACAGCCCGCGACTTCTATGCTGAGCAGAAGTGTCTCCCACGCACCACCCACCTGTGAGGAGCCCAGGGCCGAGGCTGGTGGGGCTGGGGGCTCTGTCCCAGAGAGTGGGGAGGTCACAGCATCTCCTGGGGTCCCAGCGCCACTCTGTCCAGCCAGCTCCTGATGTCTGCACCTCACCCCGCCTGAGGCCTGGGCTCCCTCACTGTAGAGGGTGTCAGCGGCACCCTCCACCCCAGCTGTTCCTCCCCGGGTGGCCTCTCTGACACCCCAGAAGATTCCTGGTCTGGGATTCACATTGCCGACCAGGTCAGCACACCTTAGAGACGGGTCCCAAGCACCTTGCCAGAGATCCCGGGCCCCACGTGAGAAGGAGGGGGCATCACACCCTGCTCTGTCTTGGGGAGCCCCAGGATGATGGGGAGACATGGCCAGGGCCCCACAGGCTCCCCAAGAGGCCAGGAAGACACGGTCACTTCCAGGCGTGAAAGAGACCACAGGCTCTCAGCTCCCCAGAGCCGCTCTCAGGTCACCGAATCCCGACTCCTTTCAGAAAACACTCGCTCCAGTGAGCACGGAAGACTCGGGGTACCGGTGTCCTGTCTGGAGTCCTGCTGTCCCCATGATACATACAGCACTGGCTCTGGGCCCCTTCCCCTCAAGGTCACTTGGTCCCCAACTGCCTCTCATGAGGTATCCCTCGGGGACGCTCCCTGCCCAGCCCCACCCCGGAGCCCAAGTCGCACCTGGAGTATCCGCTTCAGGGACTCCACGTAGCTGCCCTCGCTCTGCACGATGGAGCCCAGGATGTGCCTCCGGATCACCTGCCCGGGCCAAGCACAGTCAGCATTGGGCACCCGCGCAGGGCCGGGGACGCAGGGCAGCAGCTACAGGACGAGGGTCCAGCCCTCCCAGAGCCGCACCTGGGACCACTGGGGTCTGCAGGGCTGCGCTGCTTCTGCAGCCACCACCCAGACACCGTCTGCTCAGGCTGCGGCCAGGGAGACGGGCAGGTCCCCAGGTAAGCATCTGCCCGGCCTCTGCTTGCACATATCCGGGGATGCGGGGGTCACCACCTCTGCTCCAGGGGACAAGGGTGACCCCTGTTTTGGGAAACGCTAGCAGGGAAGCTGGGATTTCGGCGCCCACCCTGGTTGCGGACGGAGCCTTGAGCAACCCCTTTGCACAGGACGGTCCTTGGGGTGGCCTCCCTCAGCTGGGCCTCCACAGCCCCTTCCCCTTTCCCTCTTGCCATCCCCACTTGTCCTCAGCCTCCTCAGCACCCGGGAAACACAGGGCAGTACTGCCTCCACCAGATGACCAGCACCCGTCAGACCCCGTGTGACCACGCCCCACACCCCTGGCTCTGGGAGGCAGTAATGTCACCTGGGGATCCTTAAAACATGCTGCTGCCTGGATCCCACCCAGACACTGTGACTCCTTTGGCACAGGCACCACCTGGGCATTGCCTTAAAATCTGCCCAAGTGACACGGGTGCAGTGGCGCACACCTGTAACCCAGCACCTCGGGAGGCTGAGGCAGGAAGATCAAGTTCAAAGCCAGCCTCAGACCTGTCTCAAAATTAAAAAAAAAAAGGTCTGGGGATGTAGCCCAGTGGCAGAGCACAGAGCACCCCAGGATCAACCCCCAGTGCCAAGGAAAAAAAATGTGCCCAGGTGACCGTTTTGTAGCAAAGCTGGGGTGGTACTCCCAAAAGGAGTCAGATATGGGAGGCATCCAGATGGGAGCCTGTCCACCCAGATCCAAGGCCGGAGGGTGACCCTCACTCCACCCCTACAGCTGTGCGGAGAGTGTCCATCAGGCTCCTCCTCCTGCTCCCACTCCACCCAGACACAACTTCCTCAGCTTTGCCAGCTGCCCCGCCTATAGCCCAGGCCCAGGCTGGTCTGCACAGCCCCAGCAGATGGACACGGCCACTGTCCTGCAAGCTGCCCCTCAGCTGCATGTGGTGTCAGCAGCCCCCAGGAGTCCCAGAGGCACCCAGAGCAGAGTTCTGAACCCCAGCACCCAGATGCTGAGCGAGTGGCTGGCTGGGGCCGGCTGAGCATCCTAAGCTCCTTCAGCAGCCTCCCTGGCCTCTGCCCACCAGAGGCCAGCAGGGACCCTGAGTCATGACAACCAAAAACATCTCCAGACATTGTCGAATGTCCCTGAGGAGGCAGAAATCACTCCCAGAGCCATAGGCTGGAGCAACCATAAATGCCTGGTCCAGGAAACAGAAGGCTGCCGGGGAGCGAGGGGGTCCTGCTTGGAGGGCAGGAGGCCGCCATGGGAGGCTCAGCCCCGCCGGCTCCCAAAGCAACGCAGGTCATGGCTAGAGCCGGAGATGCCATCTCAAACGGTTCCAAAGTCAGGCAGGTAACACCAGAGTGGGAAGCTTGTGTACTGCCACGGACTGCCCAGTGATGGCCAGCAAGTGTCCTGAGAAGGAAGACGCTCCCCTGTGCTCCTGCCAATGGCTGCCGGCAGGAAGGTGGCCCCAGAGGTCTATCTTCCCGATTTTCAAGCAAGGCCAAGTGCTTTCCACCCACCAACCAACAAATCCCTTGCACTGAGCTGCTGTCCAGCAAGTCGCAGCCTCAGGCCAACGGGTGTCCTCCGCCCTACTTCATGGTGGGGGAGGAGACTGACTAGGGCGAGTTCCCTGAGCAAAACCACCCATCTGGCGTGGCACTTGAGAGGAGGACATCACCCGCCAAGCCACAGAGCCTGGTGGAAGCTGTGTCAACTCCAAAGGCCCATAATGCTAGACAGCAGGTGGGGACCGGATCTGGGTCCCTGAGATAAGACAGCCATCACCTTGGCCAGTTTTACTCAAGTTCTTCTTCAAGTAAGACCCCAGCTAGAAACCAGTCAAGGACCTCTCTGGTGGCCACAGGGGAGGGGGTGCATTCCAAAGGCTGGGTATCACCGTACCCTAAACTCAGGGTGCAATCTGCAGGGTCCAATCTGGAAAGCCACCAGCTGAGAAGCCAGGAGTCCCCCCCCAGCTGGGGCTCTGCCAAGAGTCCCCAGTTGTCACTTCCCCTTCAAGACCCAGACCAATAGTGACCCCAGAGAGCAGACTGGGATCCCTCCTTCTCTTCCCCACAGACCTGCTGAGGGCTCAGGCCGTCCGGCATGGGACCCAGCTCTGGGGCTGGGGGCTTGATGTCCGTCACACTGACCTCCAGGAGTCCCATGTCCTCCTCTTCCGAGTCACCTGGAAAGCCAGACGGGCCGATGACACAGCTAAGCCGCGGACCACATGCCCTGGTCAGACCTCAGACCAGCCCTGGACACAGGTCAGCAGCAGCAGGTTCCTGGCTCGGGGGCTGTGGTCGCCACTGCAGCCCGGGGCCCGGGGCTGCGCGTCGGTGAACAAGTGGGCGGGGGGAGAAGAGCCACCAGCGGCCACACAAAGTCGGGTCCCGCAGGTCCCAGGTCTCAGATCAGCCCTGCCCGACACCATCCATGCTCAGGCCTGGCCACTCTGGTCTGGCAAAGGCCAAGCCACCCATGTCCCCATCCGTGGGCACTAAAAATAGCTTTCCTCTGGATGCCCCAGGGGAAGAGAATCTGCCTGAAGAGCGCGGCAGCGGTCTGCACTGCATTAAAAAAACAATGCAAACCCAAGAAGGAAAAGTTCAACCCAAGTCTGACGAGGCTCCTGGGCTAGCGGGGGACAGAGGCCCAGCCCTCGACCCTCCTTGGCACCGGGAGATGGGACCCCCTGCTGCTCAGCGCTTCTGAAACCCTGTGGCCACAGAAGGTGGGTGCTGTCGGGAGGCAGGGAAGAAAAGGGAAGTGGCAGTGACCCCAGAGGCCCAAGGGAGCAGGGACACCCGGCGGGCCTTACCTGAGCAGGAGATGGAGGAGGAGGAGGAGGAGGGACACCGGACAACGGCATGGGGGTGGGGGTGGCAGAGGCCCTCCTGCCGGGCCCACATGACGCCCTGGGCGCCACTCCGCACCCACCCCAGCCGCCGGCCCCGTGGCTTCCTCTTCCCCCACGCGCTGCTGGGTAACATTCTTGGCCTGCGATCCGAGCCCTGCCCGGCTATTAATAACGCGCTGGTGGGAGGGCCACTCAGGAGAGGCTCGGGGTTAAAGGGCGGGGTGGGGAGGGCCCAGGGCAGGGAGGGTGTCCCAGAAACAGTGCCTGCCATGACCGGTCCCCTCTCTCATGGTGGCCGGTGCTTCCCAAGGGTGGAGGGGTGTGAACAGCATCCACGCCTGCCCCTCAGCACCACGGCAGGCCCACGGGGGCTCAGCCCACGCTGTGGATGAGGAACCTGACACTCGGGAGGAACTGGGCAAGGTCACAGTGAGGAGGCCACAGGGCAGGGATGTGACCCAGGTCAGTGTGACACCGTCCTGGCACCAAATGCCTCTGCCAAGGCCTGCCTGCCACGCAGGGCTGTTCCCACACCACCTCGTCACCCTCGCCACGGCTCTGGAGAGAAGCCGTGAATGCCCCCAGCAGAGGGGGTCACTGAGCAGGGGAAGAGGAAACGCAGGACTCCGCAGAGTGTCCGGTGTCCGCTCCACCGGGCGGCCTCCACCCACCCCAGGACTGGCACCCCAGGGCTCTGCCCAGAGACCACCGCCTGGCTTGCTGCCCCCAAAGGCAGCAGCTGGGTCTAGCTTGTCCCTGTCCCCCCAGTGCCTGGCAACATGAGCATCCCTGGGGCCTTCCCCAGTCCTAGAGCAAGGGGTGGGCTTCATGGGTAGGAGGGTAGCCGTGGGGAGTGACCAGGGCAGGGAGGATGGCGGAGATGGTAGGAGGGCAGGTGCATATGTGGGCAGGGGGCACCAAACCTGGCAGAGAAGCCTCAGCCTCCCACCCCGCAGAAAGTGTCCCGGGAGAAGCCCAGGGTGGGATACGGGTGGCCCTGCACCCGTCTCAGCACTACAGAAGACCCCTGCCAGCCACCAGGAGGCACCTGGGCACTCAGCCAGGCCAGAGGAGACCTCTGCGGGGCCCTCTCACCACCTGCCTCTGCCTCCCACTGCTGCCCAGGGACTGGCTCCTGCAGCCACCCCCTCCTTCCCACGCGGCAGCCCCGCCCCCTCCACTGTACTAGAACCACAGCCCCCAGGGCAGGACTGCCCCAGCCTGTGCACACTTCCCAAGACCTGGAGGCAGCTCCCAGCACACAGCAGGAGCCTCAAAAACCCACGAATGAAGAAGCGACCAAGGGCCCCACCCATCCCTAGAGCCCTCCTCCTGCTGACCTGGCCCTGACGCTCACCCCACCAGCCAACCCTTCCACCCTGGGACCTGCTCCTTGGGTGTTTACAGGGGTTAAGTGAGGAACCGCCAAGCTTCTAGGTCAGCACCTGGCACCCAGCAAGTCCTCAGCCTCCCTTCCCCTCCTGTGGCAGCCCCCCATGATGGGCCTCCCCTCCCCCACCTTTCACCACCCCCTCCCACTCTCCTCCTCACACCCCAGCACCCCACGTGCCACCCCCCATTTCATGCCTGTCCCCCAGCTGCACCAGGAGCCCCTGGGGGAACACTTTAAATTCATCTCAGGGTCCCCCAGGTGGCATGGGGCAGGGCAGGTAGTAGGTGTTCGATAAATACTGGTTGGAGACTGGCGGACAAGTAAAGGGACAAGCAGAGACAGAGATGGGTGAGGCCCAGTGAGCCAGGGAACAGGAGGCCAAGACACCCAGGTCAGGACGCTGAAGGGGGCCCAGCCAGAAGAGTGGGCAGCAAGTGGAGACTGACAGGGACATTGGGGATCCAGTCAGACACCCAGGGGCGCCCCACCCATCGAGCCCTCCCCCTCCCCCGGCACAGAGCTGAGCACCCGACCCTGGCTGCATGGGCCTCACCGAGGACATCTTTCCTGTGCAGAAAGGAGACTTTGCGCATGACCGCCATCCGCGTCTTCTCCAGCCCGTCCTTGGTCCCGCTCCTGGCGGCCTTCATGAGCTGGGTCATCTGAGCAAAGGCAGAGTGCCTCATCAGAGAGGCCGGGGACCTGGACACCTGCCACCAAGGGCTGCCAGTCCCACTGGACCTCAGCCTGGCTGCAGACATCAGGACCACCCGACCACCCAGTCCCGGGTGAGTGCGCAGCAGAGGCCAGGAGAGAGTGGAGGCCAGCAGATGCGCTCAAGGCCCGAGGGTCTCCCTGTGGGCAAGGGGGGGTCCTACCCCAGCGTTTCCCTCAGAGCCAACTCCACCAACAGGTGCCGGATTAAGGGGTGCACACCCGTAATTCCAGCTACTCGCGAGGCTAAGGTAAGAGGATCGCACATTCGAGGCCAGCCTCAGCGATTTAGCAAGACTGTCTCAAAGTGAAAAAATGCAAAGGGCTGGGGTGGAGCTCAGAGGCACAGCAATTGCCTGGCACGAGCAGGGCCCTGGTTTAATCCAGGGCTACAAAGAAAGGAAAGATTAAGGAGCAGTGTGCCGGGAGAGGCTGGCATCCTGGTCTGGCTTCAGATCCCCCTCGGCACTCCCAACAAGCGGGCCTCGGTGTCCCCAGACAGCCCGGAGGCAGCGGCCAGACCCACCCACCAGGGTCAGCAAGACCAAGCAGCCCTGCAGAGCTGACCCGCCACGCAGGCACGGGGTTGCTGCAGGGGCCACTGGGAAGAGGTGCACACAGGTGAGGGACCATCCCTTGCCCCCCACGGCCAGGGTCCTTTCTGAGCTGCTGCCTGGGAGAAAGCGGAAGTTGCCAGAGAGCAGGACGCAGCTTCCTGGTGGACGCCAGCCTGGTGAGCTGAGCAGGGCGTGAGGCGCAGGAAGCACATGCCCAGGACAGGAAGCAGGCGCCCGCTGTCCCCGCACCTCCTCCATTCCCCCTCACCAAACCCAGCCCAGCCCTGGCACCTTCTGCACCACCAACCAGCACCAGCCACCTGAGCTCTCTGCAGCAAGGACGGACTCTGTACTGCCAGCACGGGCCACAGGTGGCCCTGAGCCCTCGGGGTGTCCTGAGACCTGGGTCACTGATCACGCCTCACGTAACCAATGCCAGCGTAACAGCTACGTGGCCGTCAAGGAGGCCAGCGGTGTGCCAGGGAACCCTCTCCTGACTCTGCCCAGGGGGAGCAGAGCTGACCCCCATCCTCCCTGTCCTCCTGGCCACAGGCTTCGCAGGGGTCTGGGTGAGGAGGGCTTGCTGAGAAGCCCGGGCAGTGCCCAAGAGGCAGGGTGGTGGCTTCCCACGAGCAAGGCTGGCATTCTGGAAACTACCCACGGGAAACGGGAAGTGGGCCCAGCCCTCCCCGCGCCTGTGGGGCACAACTCCTGCCCTCTCAGCAGGAATGGCCATAGCACCCTGGAGAGGCCAGAGAGGGAACAGGGTTGACCCCGGGAAGCACGGCTGGTCTCCTAGGGTACGTCCTCTCTGGGGCCACGCACCCCCAGTGCCTGTTCTGGTGGAAAGCCATGGGGCGTTCTGGGGACCCGCCACAGGGGTCTTGGGGGCTCATCTGAGGCCCTGCCCTTGGAGAGGAAGAGCAGCAGGCACCTGCCCAGAAGGCTCCGGGGGACCAGGTGATCAGTCTGCAGGGTGCTCCATGGCCCCTCAGCCAGGGGCAGGGGCTGGGAAATGCACCTGTCCCTGCGTCTGCCCTCCATGGCTCCTGGCTCCTCGGGGCCTCTGTGTCCTGGAGGCTGAACCTGCGGGGCCTGGGTCTCGGCTGGGGGAGGGTGGGTAATCGTGGCCCCGTTCCTCCTCCTCCCAGGGCCGGGCTCGGATGACGTGGGGTACAGGAGGGACACACTCAGGGGCTGGTGCCTGGCAGGCCCAGCTGGAGGCCCAGCTCTGCCACCAACTGCCAGTAGGACCAGCGGTCACCACTTTACTCGCCTCAGGTGCAGTGATGGCAGAAAGACGGCCGCCCCAGGGTGCAAGGGACAGGACGGTCAGCCTGAGGTACACGAGGGAACAGCGGTGGCCGCCATCCACTGCTCTCTTGGAGCCGAGCACCCTACAGACCTGATCACCGGGGGCCACTCCTCCCGACACCCGTTTCACAGGCAAGAAACAAGGTCCAGAGGGGCCATGGGGCCTGCCAGGACCACAGAGAGAGAAAGTGGCGGGACCGGGATCTGAACCCAGGTCTGCAGGCCTCGAAAGCCAGTGATGGCCACCAGGCCACACAGCGAGCCTCACTCGAGAGCAGCCACTAACACGATGATATCACCTAGAAGCCCAGGTCCTGCCTGAGGGGGCTGCAGTTTCTCCCACAGACTTCCTCACCCTGGGCCTCTCGGAGCATCCTGGAGGGGTGGTCCCACGTCCCCCACGCTAGATTCCTCCAGGTGTAACCCAGCCCGCCCACCGTGGTCACTAAGTACTGCAGAACCAGCACCAGGCCAAAGTCAGGAGTGTGTGTTTTAACCAAAGGCCTCGGGTGAGTCTGGGAGTCTGCAAACCTCCCGGGTTCCTGTGGGCATTAGCATCTCGGGTGAAGAAGGGAAGGTGCAGCAGAGTCGCAGAGGGACGGCTGGCCTCGGGCACTGCCCCTCGCAGGGCAGGTGGAATGCAGCCAGGCGCCAGGGCTCGGCCCACCGTCCAGGGCGGGCGCAGCGGAAAGGCTCCATGGGTGGCCGCAGCTCACGAGGGCCCCTCCGGCCGGGGCGGGGCGGACGGACAGACGGACAGTACCTTACAATCGTACTTGTGCTTCAGCTCCTGCATGTCTCTCCCCCCAACTCTTAAAGCCAAGATGTCCCTCTTAGTCCTGGCGTATCTCTCCTTTAGCCTAGTCAGGTCTGGAGACAGCTGGAGCGCAAGCGGCAGGCAGAGGAGAGCAGGCGGGAGGAGCAGGCGGGACAGGAGGGACAAACAGACACAGGAGAGAGGAGACTCAGTCAAGTGGGGCGGACACAGGGCAGGCGGGACAGCACCCCGTGGGCAGCCGGGTCGGTCCCGCTGGGGTCTGCCCAGCAGCGTCCAGGCCAATGTGCTGGGGTCTCTGCGCAGGGGGTCCAGCCGCTGGGGAGCAGGGCAGGGCGGGAACGAGCCCAGGTTCCCCTCTCTGGGGAAGGGGACTGTTCCGGGGACCACGGCATCTTCCCCCAGCCCGGGCCCGTGTAGGGCTTGTAACCAGAGGTTCCTGGCACATTCGTGAGGAGGACCTAAAGGGCAGGGCAGGAGCATCAGTGGACACGTAGGCCAAAGCACAGAAAGATGGATGAGTGGGCAGGGGGTGGCTGGACGATGGGTGGACGACAGACAGACGCTGGGTAGATGATGAATGGACAGGCCATCGGATGGATTTGGTCTGGTGACTGTACAGCTGGGCAAGTGGAGAGATGGACAGAGGAGGTCATCAGAGGATGTGGACAGGTGGATGGAGACATGGCCGAGCGTGCTGGGCAGTGCCTAACAGCCGGTTCTCCAGGAAGAAGAGCCCTGTGGGCGGCACTGCCCGTAAGTACCCTCCCACCTGGGCCAACTGCACTTCCACAGCGCCCCCGAGAACGTGGGCTGAACAGAGATGCGGCCGCAGTGCGGGAGTTCCCATGAGCAGCACTGCCAGCCCCGCAGCCCTGGAGGACGATGGCTGCACAGGAGGGCGGGCGGGCAGGCGGGCAGGGACTGGCTTACGGACACCCATGACGATGGACAGAAAGGGAGACGCACATTCAAATGCGTGAGCTGTGTAAGCAAGAGGGACACTGAGTACAGTACACAGAAGACCAACACAGATAACGGACACGTAGAAGGTTCTAGAATGTGAGCTCTGGGGGCCGCAGGTCTACATGCAAATTGTGGCTCCCACTTGCTGGCTGGAAAAGTCTCTTTCCCTCTCCGAGTTGCAGCTTGTGTGCTGGTAAAATGCTCGTAAGAGGCCATGAGAATAGCCCACTGGGCCGTAGGGTCATTGAGATAATAGCTCACAGAGAAAATTAAGTGTAAAGCCCAAAATTTAGTAGGTAGCCAAAAAACAAATGCCAATATTATTTTATTTTTAAAATTATGAGTGACCAGTATTTATTAAGTGGATGGGAGGATAGATGGATGGACAGATGGGTGGATGGGTGGATGAAGAGATGGACAGAGAGATGGCTGAGGTGTTTTTATCCATATGTGATGCTGAGTTTTGGCTCTACCATTTACTGGCTGTGTGACCCTAAGCACATCACTTAACCTCTCTGAGCTTAAGTCACATAGGTTTTCTGAACAACAAAATGAGAATCTTCATAATAGTGACCACCCTAGGGTAGTAGGAAAATCTAGTGGAACTGCTTTTGAACTGTACCGCACTGGGTAAATGGTCTCTATTGTTATACAAGTATCAGGACAGGGATCCTGAGACAGTGACCCAGAATCCTGAATTCCTCTATAAATAAGCTCAACCTTATAAAGCCACAAATCCCCTCAGCCTTCTGGCGCCCCTCGCCTCTCAGAGCCTGAGGAGCTAGGAAATGTTAAGGGTCAGCAGTCACATGCCCACGTCAGAGCGGGGTGTGCAAGGGGCTGCAGCCCGAGCTGGCACTGCTGGGACGATCTGCCCGTCCTGCAGGCCCCGCCCTGCTGGGTCACGGTGACCTTGGTGATGAGAGGTAGTAGGAGGAAAGTGGAGTCCACCAGTGGAAGGATCTCCCCCACCATGGGTGGCAGCCAGCAGCATGACCCGTGGACCTACAGGACAGTGGCTGCTCACCTGGACAAGGTGAGCAGACCCCTGGGCCACTTTCTCCGGTGAAGCCCACCTGCCTGGGGCTGGCCCCTCAGCACAGCTGACGGAGGGGCTGGACTGGCTCTCCTGTGGCAGATTGAGTGCCAAGGCCACGGTCAGACTCCCAGGACGGGACCGCACTGTCCCTCACACCTGCCGCCTCGCTCGCCTCCGCCCTCGGCACACAGCAAGCAGCGGGGCAGGAGCATGCGCGGCCGTGCAGCCCGGAGCAGGCGTGCCCAGAACGCACAGCCCAGCAGGGCTCAGCAGTCACCCAGGCAGAAGTGACACCAGAGCAAAAGCCCCTCCACACCCTCCCACCTCCCGAGGTCACTGCTGGTCAGGCAGTAGGCGGGCCTTGGCCCAGAGCCAGACAAAAAGCCCTCGAGTTAGGACCCCAAGAACTGTCCCAGGTTCCCCTCTGAGGAGGGTCCGAAGCCCCCCGGGGAGGGTGTAAGAGGCACACAGACCCCACCCCAGGGCCCGTGAGGTTCGGCCCAGCCCAGCGATTCTCAAAGTGCGCTGCGGGCAGAGCGCGGGTTAGAAGGCAGGCGCCAGACCCCAGAGAGGGAGGCCCAGCAGGGGGTCCACCGATCCTCACGCCCCGCAGGCCTGAGGGCCAGCACGGAGAGCCT